ATGCAACAAAATTAATTTAATAAAAATAAATGAAATAAAAATAAATTGAAAAAAATTCATGTCCCTGAGCTGTTGGCTTGAAGTAACTGAGCAATTCATTTGGATAGCACAGTGCTAATGTTTTAAAATAAGCTGCTTTAAAGTCATCATCAAACATAAACTAAATCTGCCATAATGCAGCTATTTCTGTTTTTATTTCAGATTTAGTCAGTCATACACTTAGTTCTTATCAGTGTTTAAAWGAGGACRWGTTAAAACACTGTTTAGTCAAAGTTAAACATGAAACATCAAAGTTCATTACAAGTGGCCCTTCGAAGGCCACCATAACTCTCATGTGGCCCTCGGTGAAAATGAGTTTGACACCCCTGTTTTACACCTTCTTAACTCTTACTATTTTATATATTTTTAGTATTTTGTATACTGTAGTATTTGGCACACAAGCATACATATTCTGCCATACTGTCCCCAATGAACTTTCAGGAATCTCTCGCCAACAACTGGACTGGACAGTCGTACTGTCTTATGTATGACTCTTTTATATGTGCAGTAATATATGTGGAAAGATATCTTATTGCTTATGTCTGCTGCTATGAAATGTTGACGCACTACATCTTGTTTTATTTTGTATTACAACAGAGTTTTCTCAAATCCTATCTTGTTTTGTCCCCAGTCGGGTGCTGTCATGGCAGTACTCGCTGCAGTCTGCACAAAGGCGCCAGAGGCCGAATTTGGCATAATCTTCCTTCCAATGGTCACTTTCTCAGCAGGGAATGTAAGTGCTTCACAATCTGTGCATGGCCAGTAGTATTTAAATGTGTATTTCTGCATGTTTGATTTTATGGTAAAACATTTGTTGTTTTGGTACACCTCATTGCAGCTGTTACAACTTAAAAGTTCCTGAAATATATTTGTCTTCAGGCTCTCAAAGCACTGGTTGCTATAGATACAGCAGGGCTCATGTTGGGATGGCGATTCTTTGATCACGCTGCTCACCTCGGTGGGGCGCTCTTTGGAATGTGAGTCCCCAGTTTGTTTGCAAATTGACTAAGAATATTTATAAGTTCATTTCAGAACATAGTGATAAGCATCATAAAAAGGGGTTTAAGTTTTTTATTTATCTTGTTTTTTCTGCAACTTTCACTTTTGCTTTTTACCGTTTAATATTATCAGCTTTAAAGCTTACTGCAAAGTTTAAAAGATGGAGTTTTGTAGGTGTATCGCTTTGACCAAATTAGTGCTTCTGAGCTTTGTTTATTGTTTTAAAGGGATATTTGTTTCTACTACAGTGGTTTGCAAAAGTATTCATACCCCTTGAACTTTTCCATATTTTGTCACATTACAACCACAAACATAAATATATTTCACTGGAATTTAATG